AGATCAAGTTAGTGGCCAAGTCCGGAATAGAATAGTCCCAACTCCCCATCCTTTGCCATGGTCTTTTTGGGGACAAGAGAAGAGAAGCGAGCTGGCTGCGCTGTGGCTGCTGGTAGTCGGAGCTGCCGTCCTGTAAGAGCAAACTAGACAAACACACGTGTCAAGGGAGAGAAAAGAGCAGGCCTGGACTGGACTCTCATTTGCAGCCTTGCTGCCTGGCACATGGTCTGATCACTACACTGAGCCCTGGCGTGGTGGTGCTTAAGGCATTGCATAGAGCCATTCCTGCGCCCCGAGCAGCGGGTGCGCGACGCATGTGTGGCCCCGCCCCTCACCGCACTGCGCACCTTACAGCTGCCATCAGGCGCCCCCCATAGGTTGGTGCCCCGGGCAGCTGCCCGGCTAACCTCCCGCTTAATCCAGCCCTGCATATAGCCACCCCTCAGGTCACAGCGCTGGTGTAAAATCTACAGGCTTGACTGGCTTAGACAGGGTAACATGGGGAGAGGTAAAAGGGTGACGGAAGGTGGGGAAGGAAAAGGAGACACATGGGGAGCAGGCGCACTCTCAGCTCCTTGGCAGGGGTAGGAATTTAGTGGGAGCCTTTGGAGTTGGCAGTGTGATTGGGGACTGAGCTGTGGCCCTGCCTGCTCAGCATCAGGACCATGAAGGCACAGAGGTGTATCTCTGAGTACCAGCAGGCGTGGCTTGCTCCTTCCTTGCCTTTAAATAAGCCAGCAGCCATGTCTGTCCCTCTCTTTATCGTCTGTGAGCTCCCCGAAAGGAAGGGCTGAGCAGAACCGCCCATCCCCCCTTACTTCGTTCAGCGGTTAGACTGAATTTCCAACCTCCCCCCCCCCCCCCTCCACACACACTCTTCTTGCTTACCTGGCATAATCTAACCCGGTCCTTGAGTTAGAGCAGGAGGCCTTGTGCACTTTTGTCTTGTTGTTACAGTGTATGATGACACTTACAACTTTGTTCCACTTTTCCCCAGGAGTTCGCAGGCGGGGCAAAGTTGCAGGCCCAGTTATCCCCATATACTCAGGGACAACACTGGTAACCACAGTTGGCCAGCCCCGCACTGCTGCAGGGAGTGGGCCAGGGCTTGCCAACAGGGCAGACCTGAGCCCACACTGAGCTCCCTGTTTATTTTGGCTCTTGTGAGGCCACATCTGGAGGATTGTGTCCAGTTCTGGGCCCCCCACTACAAAAAGGATGTGGACGCATTGGAGAGGGTCCAGCGGAGGGCAACCAAAATGATTAGGGGGCTGGAGCATATGACTTATGAGGAGAGACTGAGGGAGTTGGGTCTGTTTAGTCTGCAGAAGAGAACAGTGAGGAGGGTATTTGATAGCAGCCTTCAACTTCCTGAAGGGAGGTTCCAAAGAGGATGGCGAGAGGCTGGTCTCAGTAGTGACAGGTGGCAGAACAAGGAGCAATGGTCTCAAGTTGCGGTGGGAGAGATCCAGGTTGGATATTAAGAAAAACTATTTCCCTAGGAGAGTGGTGAAGCACTGGGATGGGTTACCTAGGTAGGTGGTGGAATCCCCATCCCTAGAGATTTTTAAATCTCGGATTGACAAAGCCCTGGCTGGGTTGATTTAGTTGGGATTGGTCCTGCCTAGGGCAGGGGGCTGGACTTGATGACCTTCTGAGGTCTCTTCCAGCTCTATGGTTCTATGATTCTTTTCTGAATTATCTGCTTCCCTGGCTTAGACATAAAGAACCCCCTTTTCTTTCTTAACTGCCTATGTCTGGAGGGCGACACATGCATTTTAGAGTACAACCAGACCTCTGCAACAATGAGTCCATTGAAGTCAATGGAAGTTGGGTAACTGATTGTAGAGGAGCTAGAGTGCGGTTGTTTGAATGTGTCTCCAAATGCATCTGTACCGCTGTGTGTGTGCATTATTTGCCTGTCTGTGTGACTGTAGCCAGGTGTGTTTGTCTGCGGGCAGCATTGGGGTGTGTGTCTTTGAGGTGGCGTGTGTGGATGACCATCAATGTATGTGTCCATCTGTCTTTGTCTCTGTGTACAGTGCCTGTGTGTATCCACGCCTGTGAGTCCCAGAGCATGCCTCTGTGTGTGTGTGTACGCACGTGTCCTTGACCAGCGTGTCCACGTTTGTCTCCAGACATGAGTGTGCGTCTCTCCATATGTGTCCACGTCTCTAGTACTCAATGGATGTGTCTAGACTGGCCAGTTTTTCCAGAAAATCCGCCACTTTTCTGGAAAAACTTGCCAGCTGTCTACACTGGCCGCTTGAATTTTCGCAAAAGCACTGACTTCCTACTGTAAGTAATCAGTGCTTCTTGCGGAAATACTATGCTGCTCCCATTCAGGCAAAAGTCATTTTGCGCAAAACTTTTGCGCAAAAGGGCCAGTGTAGACAGCTCAGATTTGTTTTGCGCAAAAAAGCCCCAATTGCGAAAATGGCGATCGGGGCTTTTTTGCGGAAAAGCGCGTCTAAATTGGCACGGACGCTTTTCCGCAAAAAGTGCGTCCGTGCCAATCTAGACGCTCTTTTCCGAAAATGCTTTTAACGGAAAACTTTTCCGTTAAAAGCATTTCCGGAAAATCATGCCAATCTAGATGTAGCCAATGGATCTGCATGCTTAGAAATTAACCTCCATCAAGCTAATCGCATTACTGATCAAACCCTGAAATTAAACATTAAACCCCTTCATGCAGCAGAGTGACAGCCCCGGCTAAATGCAACTCCCCTTGTCCAAGCAAAGAGAAGATGGATTTCCCAGCTCTGGTGGGGGAGGTGTCGCTTTAGGAATTCCTGAAACTAGCTGCTGAATTCCACGTCTGCATCACCCCAAGAGCCTGTACTTGTTTATCCCCATTTCTCAAGGAGAGCTGAGTGAATAACTAGTTTTGTTTGGTTCCGGTGACAAACGAAAAAATCTGAGTCGGAGGGAGCTTAGTTCAGTTCAAACCAAAAAAGCTTTTTTTTCTTGCTGAAAGAAACCAAAAATAAATAATTTCAGGGCAAATAAAACACGTTGTGGGACCAAAAACTGGGTTGTTTTCAGGGATTTTTCACCTTTTTTTTTCTATATGCAAAATTTCCAAATGTAACATCAAAATGCTCTAAAACTCTTTCGTCTCTGGCCTACACTGGGTTCTCGGAGGGGCTGCTACCTGGCCACCTTGTCTTTCTTTCCAGGGCTGACTCCTTTGGGATAGCAGCTGTCAAAAACTTTCACCTTTGGGCTGCCCAATTTTGGGGCCCACGGAAACAGCATGGAAAGTTAATCTAAATTAAGGTTTAAAGTGGATCATTGCGGGAAGTCCTTGTGTACCTATTCTTATTCAGAATTCACCTGGCCCTAATGCCTTTAGTTTGCTTCACGTGAATTAAGCTAACCTGAATTCGGACCACTTGAACGCTGACTAAGAGCAAGCGAACGGGTTCTTATTTCCCCGTGGTTGGAATTGATTTGTGGCAGCCTCTCTGGGCTCGTTGCCTAAAGCTAGGGAAGGGGTCGGTGGTGGGGGAAAGCTGAGCTGACAGGGTTCCCTCCGCCCAGGGAGCGGTGTGATTGCAGTCCTGCTGCTCCTCTGTTCCTGTTTTCCACCTAGGGGGTTTCAGTCATCTGGAGCTAGACCTGCCTTGTATCCTTTACAGGGAGCTGTGCATGGGCTCTGCTGTTGGGGCAGGTGACGTGTTGCTGGCTTAGCACTGGGGCGGCACCCTCAGCACGCGTATGCTTTGTGCTCTCCTGGCAAGCTGCAGTCACACTCGGGCCAGGACTGCTAATGCTGGCTCTATGAAATAAGGCTAATCCAGGCTCATGCTTCAGGGCAGAAGCTAGCTGCCTGCAGGGGTCAGGAAGGAAGTGGGGCCCCACCATTGGAAGCTCTGTGCAATGGGCTGTGGGGAGAATGTGCCTGCAGCTAGCAGCTGAATGTTGGAATGGGAACGAGGTGGGCAGGAGCGGACTATGGGCCTCTGGACTGAGCCAGCAGAGGAGGGGCAGGATGGCAGGCTGTGGAGCCCTGTGGAGTGAAAGGCAGGATACTGGTCTCTGGACCAGTCCAATATTGTTTGAGTCTGTTACAACCAGTGTGTGCTACTAGGGTGGCTGTGACCTGTTTGCTCTCTGCTGAGGTGTTACACCCTGGAAAGAGGGTTGCGCTGTTGCCCTTAAACAAAGTGCTCTGTCTGTAGCCCCTTTTTCCACCAACCTGTTGCACAATAGGGTATGTGCCTGGCTGCTTCCTCCACCCCAGAGGTGGCTGCATGTCCCTGACGCTACATGTAGCGAGTTTGTCAAACTGGGTGAGTTGCAGCATGCTTTCGCTGCTCATGACGGTCTCCCTTGTAATTTGTTTTTAAAAAGGGAGGTTGTGACTTAATTTCTTGTCTCATTGCCCTGCACTATAGCAGGTTACCAAACTCTCTGGCACCTTCTGCCCCCTCTGAGCCACCATGGCTGTTGAAACGTTGCTGTGCCCTCAGCCCAGCCAAGAGCCAATCCATTCCCTCAACCTCCCTCTCAGCAGCCCCCTGCACCGGGGCAAGGGGGGATGGAAAGGTGCTGCTCTCAGGCAGATGATCCCTTGGGGACCTGCACCAGCTGATGTCATTTAAAACAGTCCCTGGTCAGAATAGGACTGTCAAGGAACTGCTCTCAAGGTGGCACTGAAAGGGAAGATCAGAGAGAGCCAAGGGGAAGAGAAGGGGCAGCTGTAGGACTGCCTAGTAGTTAGGGCTTTTATCTGGCCTTGGTTGAATTTCCTGCTCCAGACAAGTCGCTCACTCTTTCTGTGTGGCTCAGTTCCCCACCTGTGAAATAGGCGTAACCTGTGAAATAGGCCAGGTGGGGCCAGGCAGGTGAATGCAGCATAAGGCTGGGAGAGGCTCAGGTATCATGGCGCTGGAGAAGAGCCGTGGCTAGCCAGGCAGGCCGTGTCATGTGCTGGCAGGAGGCTGCCAGGGCTACTTCTGGAGGAGTCACTGACTGGGTTGCTCTTGGTCTTGCAGTGACTGGCTGGCCTGAAGAGGAAATGCTTCCTGAATGGGGCTGAAACTGCAGCCGCTGGAATATGCAGCCCGGGGGCCTTCCTGGCAGTGCAAACGCAGTGGACTGTGCCAGAGAGCCAATCGCCTCGTCTCAGGGGAGGGCCACGGCCAAGCGGTATGGTGACAACCTTCAAGATCGCCGTGCTTGGGGCTCAAGGAGTTGGCAAGAGCGCCATCGTCCACCAGTTCCTCTACAACGAGTTCAGCGAGGCCTGTGCCCCCACCAAAACGCGGCGCGTCTACCTGCCGGCCGTGGTCATGAACGGCCACGTGCACGACCTGCAGATCATGGACTTCCCCCCCATCACCTCTTTCCCAGTTAACACGCTGCAGGTACGTGGGCCGGGCGCTGGCCCGGGGATGCCAGCCACAGGCCCAGGGGCCGGTTCGTAGCTGTGGGAGTCAGTTCTGATTCTTCCCCAGGTCAGATGTGTGCTGACTCCTCAACTTAAGAGACCCCATAGTATGAGCCTCGAGTCCCCTAATGTGGCATGTGAGGGCTGCCCTCTAAAGTCACTAAACCCCAGTCCGGCAAAGATGTTGCCCCAAGATATTGGTGCGGTAGTTTTTCTCCCAGGATCGTGTTGGGTCAGATTTGCCTGGTAAACAAATGTTGAAGGAGGGGGTTGCTTGGAGAAAGTTTTGTCTAGTACCTGGAGCCTAAGAGGGGAATCAGGACAACTGGAGTCTAATCCCCAAATCATATTATATAGTAGCCTCTAATCATCATGCCTCCATTTCATGTTTGCCAATTGCTTTGAGAGCCTTGGTTGGCAGGCGCTAAACCAGGGAAGGTGTCGTCACTGAGGCCTTGCCCACACTAAATGGAAGATAGTCACTGCTGCAATCCATCTTCTGGAGTTTGATTTAGTGAGTCTAGTTAAGACCTGCTAAATCAAACTCAGAGAAGGCATTCCGTGCTCCTGCTTTTGCAAAGAGTAAGGGAAGATGACGGGAGTAAGCCAGCTCCGGCTACGTATTCTATGTAGTTAGAATTGCATGCCATAAGCCAATCTGCCAGGTCTGGTGTAGACCTGGCCTTAATGTTAAAATATTGCCCTCTGGCTAATTCTCATGATAGGTACGGTATTTGGCAGAGGACAAGCTACAGCCTCAGGGGAACTGGTGCCTTTCTG